TGAGAAGACTGCTTCTGTGATTAAAGACACATGGCAGAGTAAGCAGCCAGATAACTCATGGCAACACTGTGATGAGCAAATTACCAAATTGACAAGAAAATCAGTGAGCAGTTTCTGGAGAATATAAACTACCAGGCAAAACTGAACTGGCAACAGAACATTAAGACTAATTTATCTCTCTATAGTTATGTCTTACTGAAAAGCCTTAGTTTATTGAAGTATTCTTCATACAGTGACTATCTATCTCATACCATTGATCATTCTTTTCTTCATTTGACTTTTTTTTTTCCTAATCATAATACTTCAGTTTCTTTTTCAAATACAGCCTAAAACTATGCACGGTATTGAAGGCTGGTGTGCCGGGTATTTGTAAAAAAGCACCATCATGTTTTTAATTTTTAGTCTCTGTCCATTTTCTTTTAATTCCTGGCAGTTTGCTTGTGGGGGGATTTTGGTAGTGTTTTATTAAGCACTAGGATATTTTCATAATTGCCCTAGTATTTATAAGTAACTCAGACCTCTTTCATCACTGGCGGTAGCTTTCATGTTATTGTCTTCACGTAATTTAGACTGATTTTCTCTATTTCATTTCTGTGCAAGTTTTCACAAGTCAAGGTTTGTAGAGAGAGAACTAAAATGTGCTCACAAAGAAACCAGTGGGAGAGAAAAAAGTTATTAACAGCTTACCCAAGGCGTATGCTTTGTTTCAATGCTTCTATATAAATTGTAGTAGTATTCTTTTTTTTTCTTTTTTATCTCATTTACCATTAAAATATATTTTGTAAAGGTAAAACTATATTTTGAAAGAACATTCAGATTGTGATCAGCTGTTTTAAAAACCACTCTCCCAAACCCAAGGCAAACCATGAAGAGTAACCCATTTTCACTGGCTGTGGTATCTCCATCCTTGGAGGTTTAATCGATTCAGCTTTTCAGGCAAAGCCAAGGTTGCTGTCATACAGTGCTAGGAGATGGTCCTGCTCTGAGAAGGAGATTCTATTGACCTCCAGAAGTACCTTCCAACCCTCATTTTTGTGAATCCCTCTAGTGTGGCTTTAAATGGGGTCTGAGGAGGGTGGGGAAGCTAATGTATTTGATATTGGGTGAGAAAAATATATATCAGTGCTACAGCCTTGAGGATTTAAGGGACTCTCTTTTACTGTATTGATAATACCACAAACCTCTTTCAAGACACCTTGAAGCCATAAGCTCTCAGACATGCAGATCTGACAAAGTGTGGGATGTGAAATAGATGAAAATGGTCCAGCATAATAGGTTCTGCATATTATCCGAGACTATTATTTTCATTATATTGACTTAGAGAAGTTCCTTGCCACCTACATTTCATGATTTTTCTGTTGTTGGTTGTTTTTTGGGGATGGAGGTTGGGGGTGTGTGTTTATGTTTTCCTTGGTTAGCCACCTATTTTTGAGATTGCTTTAGAAGGCAATAACCGTTCCCAAAAGTGTAGATTATTGTAATTGGTATGTTGGGGTTTTATTGCCCAGTGGGTATCAAATTCTGCTGCTGTGAGAAACAGAGTTTAATATAAAGATACCTAAACTGACTTTTGCTTTAATAATATCCTGTTAGATTAGCGTATATCTGTCATGTGCTAAATTTTATTTTAATATATATTTTAATGATGAGTTTTTCATTCTCATGTAAAAGACTCAGTTTTGAGTCCCCAGTTTATTTAAGGCTTGGTCCTTTGAAATGCTCCTAGTATTGTATTTGGTGTGTACAGGTTCATCCTTTGATGTCCAGAAGTGTTAATCTGCATGGCGTCCTATTTTAAACAGGGTCTTGCTTTATGCATTGTATTTTTTTCTTTAAAGTTATGCTTTTCCAATCAGTACATAACACCTCTTTATATTTAGTCGATGAGGAATGGGTTAGAGACCAGTTGAGCAATCTGGACATCCATAAATCCATGGGTCCAGATGGGATGCACCCGCGGGTGCTGAGGGAACTGGCGGAAGTCATTGCTAGATCACTCTCCATCATCTTTACCAAGTCTTGGGAAACGGGAGAGGTGCCTGAGGACTGGAGGAAAGCAAATGTCACTCCAGTCTTCAAAAAGGACAAGAAGGAGGACCCAGGTAACTATAGACCGGTCAGCCTCACCTCCATCCCTGGGAAAGTGATGGAACACCTTATCCTTGGTGCCATCTGAAGGCATATCAAGGATAAGAGGGTTATGAGGGGCAGTCAACATGGCTTCACCAAGGGGAAATCATGCTTGACCAATCTCTTAGCCTTTTATGAGGAAATAACACGGTGGATGGATGATGGCAGAGCAGTGGATGTGGTCTACCTTGACTTCAGCAAAGCATTTGACACAGTCTCCCACAGCATCCTCACGGCTAAATTGAGGAAGTGTGGACTGGATGATCAGGTAGTGAGGTGGACTGTGAACTGGCTGAAGGAGAGAAGACAGAGAATTGTAGTCTATGGGGCAGAGTCTAGTTGGAGGCCTGTAACTAGTGGAGTGCCTCAAGGATCAGTACTGGGACTAGTATTATTTAATATATTCATCAACGATTTAGATGAGGGAATTGAGTGTACTATCAGCAAGTTTGCTGATGACACTAAGCTGGGAGGAGTGGCTGACACGCCAGAAGGCTGTGCTGCCATCCAGTGAGACCTGGACAGGCTGGAGAGTTGGGTAAGGAATAACTTGATGAAATATAACAAGGGAAAGTGTAGAGTCCTGCATCTGGGCAGGAACAACCCCAGGTTCCAGTATAGGTTGGGGAATGACCTGTTAGTGTAGGGGAGAGGGACCTGGGGGTCCTAGTGGACGACAGGATGACCATGAGCCAACACTGTGCCCTTGCGGCCAAGAAGGCCAATGTCATCCTGGGGTGTATTAGAAGGGTGGTGGTTAGTAGGTCGAGAGAGGTTCTCCTTCCCCGCTACTCTGCCCTGGTGAGACCCCATCTGGAATATTGTGTCCAGTTCTGGGCCCCTCAGTTCAAGAAGGACAGGGAGCTGCTGGAGAGAGTCCAGCGCAGAGCTACAAAGATGATTAAGGGAATGGAACATCTCCCTTATGAGGAAAGACTGAGGGAGCTGGGTCTCCATAGTTTGGAGAAGAGGAGACTGAGGGGTGACCTTATTAGTGTCTATAAATATATAAAGGGGGAGTGTCACGAGGATGGAGCCAGGCTTTACTCAGTGGCAAACAATGATAGGACAAGGGGTAATGTGTACAAACTGGAACACAAGAGGTTCCACTTAAACTTGAGAAGAAACTTCTTCTCAGTGAGGGTGATGGAACACTGGAACAGGCTGCCCAGGGAGGTTGTGGAGTCTCCTTCCCTGGAGACATTCAAAACCCACCTGGACACATTCCTGTGTAACATTATCTAGGTGTTCCTGCTCTGGCAGGGGGATTGGACTAGATGATCTTTTGAGGTCCCTTCCAATCTCTAGCATACTGTGATACTGTGATACTGTGATATTCTCAATTTTATTCATATCTTTTCATACAAGGCAGAGTTGAGTCAAAGCTTGTTCTAAACGGAAAGCAGTGAATTTTTAAGTTTCTTTTTCATGCTAAAGTGCTGTAAGGTACACACTAGCTGTGTATTTCTTTTCAACAAAAGCTTGCACATGTGCTGACTTACATGACTATTTTACATGTTACTTGGGAGCTGTTGGACTTACATTTTAGGGCTCAATTTTGTTCTAAGCTGTGTTTACTCAGATTTCTGCGTGTTCATATTAACAACAGTGAAACTTGGGTGCCTGTACTGAGAGAATTCAGTTGGTTCAGAACAGGTTTCGTTAGAGTATGCAGACCTGTGTAATGGATTTATCCCACTTTTTAACTTCTGTTTATTTCTCGTAGAACTGAAGAAAAGATACTTTCTCCTTATGTGCTCGTTAGAGAAGACCAGTATTAATTTCAGAAAAATAGTCAACCTGAAGAAAAAAAATGCTTTAAAAAATATTCATGTATTCGCTGTGAGAGTTTACACAATGACATCAAAGGCAGGATAAAGCTTGCACAACTAGCTACAAATCTGTTTAATCTTATTAGATGTTCTCAAGGACTTAGAGTGCACAGAAGCATGAATTTTGCTACAAATGTGTTATTGGTCTTATTGCACCAGTTGGTTACCTAAGGAACTAAGCCACTTTACAGTAAATATTAATCCTTTCAGGGCATGCAAATAATAAATTTACCAGAAGCCATTATCTGCTACTTTTATTGCTGACAAAGTTATCATAGTACTTGTAAGCCCACTCCTGGATACCAAGGTAGGGATTAGAAAATTGTAAACAGTTATAAGAAGGAGTTGGTAAAGATTTTGAATCTCTCTGATGATTAAAAAATGTCTTCAGGAGGCTATTAAACTCTTAAGCTGTGTTTACATTACTCTTGCAAATAGACATTTTTGTTTGTTCTTGGTGACTCTTTGCAGTAAATAATGAATTCCACACTTAAACAGGAAGGTAAAGGGAAGAACAAAAAGTCGCCATATTGAGCTCTCATTCTTTTGGCTAAAATAGGATTGACCTGGCTTCTGCTTTACTTAGCATTGGCTCGTATTGGCTCTGGGTCAACTCGATTCAAGATTACAAGCTTTGGGCATGGCAGAATGAGCTGTCAGCTCAAATGCTGAAATGGCCAGTTTTTAAGTATTTTTAGGAATGAACACTAAACAAGCACTTGTTTCTTATTGCAGGATGTGCAGAGTCTGTGTGCTTATACATGGAGGAATCAAGTTAGATGGCAGATTTTTTATCATAGAGGAGCTCTGGGCTTAAATCGGTTCTTATGTCAGCTAGGAGTCCCATGGTAGTATAAAAAACAAAACAAAACAACTGTTTTTTATAAATCAACCAACAATCATAATCAGTTTAAATAAAGGCAAATCTGCATATAGTAATGAATGACAGGTTGTGGAACAGATGGGGGATAATGTCATTCCACCATCTTGAAGTTACTGTTTCAGATCTGAACTCTTATTCTCTGTATTCGATTTCAGAAGAAATAATGCAGGTGACAGAGAGAAGGCACTACAAGTTATGCTTCAAGTCCTGCAGACGTGTGATCACCCTGCTCCCGATATGTTTTGCTTATGTGGGAGGATCTACAAGGATATGTTTCTTGATTCTGAATGTAAAGATACCAGTAGTCGAGACCATGCCATTGACTGGTAACGGAAAAAAAAAAATCTGTATTAAAATGCTTTCAGACTTTTACTTTTGTTTATGAAAAGCAGGGCTGTAAGAATTAGAAAATCAGTTGTTCCACTCATCTCTTTTCTTCAGGGTTCTGTTTGATTAATTGGTTTACTGAGCACCCGATCTTTGGATAGGTATTTCCTTGCTTCTTTTTATAGGCTATCATGAATACAGAACGATAAACTTCATCCACCCAGATCTTTGTAGAAAAAAATTATAATTAATATGCTTCAAGGCCAAAATGAAATACAAATTAGATCATGGGACTTAAAGTGGTCCTTTATGCAAGGATGATTGCCATACTGATCCTCAGGAAATGCAATGATCTACTGTATATAAGGAAAAGTATTGATAAACTGTATTATGAATTTTCTTAAGATAGTAAGGCACGCATGTGCAAACAAGCTCTCAACACACTGTTCACATCAGTGTTTGTAGAATCATATAAACTACTGCTGAGTACAGTAATGTTAGCAATGTGCGTTTGTGCTCTGTGAAATACTCCCCTTTTTCTCCTCCCTCAACATTATTAGTGAAACATGGATGGGTAGTAGTTACCATAAAAGTTTCAGATGGATGTTTTCACTGTGCACCAGCTAGTGGCGTGCATTCAGCCCATCAGCTGTGTCTGTTTCCCTTAATGAAAATGAAGCTTGAAAACAAAGGGCTTAAGCCTTTAAAAAAAAAAACTTGCATTAAAGAATAATATTTTTGTTGCTTTTCTCATATGAATAATATAATAAAATTAGGTTCTATTGTGTTTTAGAGTTTTGCAGTAATCAGTTTGTTTCATTTTAACAAAACCACACAAGCTGGCAAGACATAAAACTAAGTAGAAGTTTTTCTTTCTCATCATAAGGAAAAAAGCTACTTTCTTTCAAGTGCTCTTTGCAAAAAGTGCCATTGGTACCAACTAGCCTTTTTGTCCTTGTGATAAATTAATAGCTTAAAATACCTACCAAAACTTTGCAGTATTTCAGTTCTTCTATACAGAGGTGTGAGCTCTTGACTCTTCTCTGCAGGTATCGCAAAGGATTTGAACTCCAGTCAACTCTGTATTCTGGAATTAACCTTGCAATTTTGCTACTTGTTGCAGGACAACGGTTTGAAAGTTCAATGGAACTGAGAAAAATAGGTAAATATCCACACACAGTGCCACAGACAGGTTCTCTGCCTTTCTCCCTATGAAGAAAACAAAATGCCTCTGGCAATGGGTTGCAATAGACACATGCTTGAACCTTAAAGGGGGAGAATGCAAAGGTGGCTTTAAATCATTCCCCTGACCTCGGTGTGGGGTGGACGTGTGTAGAGCCTTTAGCCATTGATCTCTTGCAGTAGATATGGATCTTGAGGACACAGAGATGTGCAGCTTACGTTGACAAACAGGAGGAAGATAGCCCAGACAGATAATGCAAGAGGTTTCCCAGCATTGTCGCAGGAGTTGGGACTGTATGGACTGTATTGGGAATGTTATTTGCAGACCCAGTCTTTACGTTGGGCAATGTTTTGTTTTGTCTTGTTTTGTTTCTTCTCTGGGGAAGACTTGCTCCACTTTACTTTTACCACTAATGTGTAATCAAGTCTTTTCGTCTTTTACTGATAGACTTAGCAGTGAAAATATTTATTAGTCTTCTACTGACAGAAAATAAGGTTTTAATTGAAATTTTACAGGTGTACGGTTAAACAGCTTATTGGGAAGAAAAGGAAGCCTAGAAAAAATGAATAATTACTGGGATGTTGGACAGTTCTTCAGTGTGAGCATGCTGGCTAATGACGTTGGTAAAGCAGTACAAGCAGCAGAGAAACTTTTTAAGCTGAAACCTCCCATGTGGTATGTGGTAGAAGGCTGTAGCTCAAGTACCCAACTATGGGGAAATTCACAGATTTAAAAATTCTTATAGTCACTAGGATAATTTATCTGGATTTTTTCCATCTTAGATTGTTTGTAACTCTGACTTTATATTCTGGTTTATTCATTATTTTGGGAAGGAAGGGTGAAAGAAAGAAATTTACTCATCGTTGTTGGGTTTATATTGCATTGAAGCACATCTTTTATAAGAAATCAGTGATGATTCCTTGTGAAACAATCGTGTAAAGGTTGTGAAACTGTTCTTTTAGAGCTAAGATAGCTGCTGCTTCCCTCCCCCATCATCTTCTAGCTGATAACATCCTTTTCTAATCACCATATAGCTACTCATGTAATTATATAACTACTCATGTAACATGAACAAAGATGTTAATGAACATCCATGTGAGTTTATGACTTAAGGTTTTGACTAAGCTTGCTATTATTTCCAGAAATCTGTAAAAATCAACACAATTATTTCCAGTATGGTAGCTTTTAAAGTACATTTAATTTTGCCATTCATTTTTTTGATGTATATGTAAATTAAGCCGTTTTAGAATCTGGTCACATTTTGTTTTTCTCTGTAAACTCACCAATTCGATATATTCTAGGTACTTGAAATCATTAGTTCAGAATCTGATGTTAATTCAGCGTTTCAAGAAACTCGCCATAGAACATCCTCCTAGACAAGAGAGATTGACTTTCTGGCTAGATATAATTTTTGAGGCAACGAAAGAAACAACTAATGGCCTGAGATTTCCAGTAAGATGTTACATCCAATCAAGTGTTGTATTCTTATGTTTCTGGATAGGGTATAACAAGAATTGTAAGACTCTAAACACAATACTCACATAATCAACTGCCTGTTATTTCATTGCATGAACTAAACCCTTGTATTCTGCTAATATTTACCGTATATAAAACATTTAACCCAACATCCTAAAAACATTCTAAGAAATACTTTTAAGTCTCATACAATAAATAGTGATCACTGTTTTGTTGTACATAGGAACACTGCCTCTTCATGCCCTGTCTTGCCCTTCTTTTTTCCTCCTGAAATTTTTTTAGGCCTCAATTTGAGATTACCCATTGCCTGTATCTGAAAATATTGTTGTGTATTAGCCACTGGTTTATTAAGGACAAATATTCTTTATTTTCAGGTTTTGGTGATAGAACCAACTAAAGTCTACCAGCCTGCATATGTTTCAATCAACAATGAAGCAGATGAGAGATCTCTCTCTTTGTGGCATGTCTCTCCTACTGAAATGGTAAAACTACCAGCACATGTGTTTCATGTATTCTGATTTGTTGTACTTTTTTATGTGTAGATTTTAGAGCACTTTATAATAATTTGAAGTTTGCTACTTCTGTGTGAAGCACAAGCCTCAATATCTCTTTTGTGCAGATATGAAAGTTTACTTTTTACAGACAAAGTAAAAGGAGGGACTATGATTAGAACCCAACTGTTTTTGACCTCTAGTTCATCTTTCATTTATCTTGACCACATCTCTTAGAAGCACTTGGGTTATTTGTTCTGCTCATAATATTTCTCACTAGAATTGTGTGATATTTATGAAGATGAAGCTCAAAGCTAGATAAGAAATAAAGATGAAGCCCAGTATTGTGTTTAATTTTTTAGACATTTTGAAGTTTTTACAATTATAAGACCAGAAACTAGAATGGCAGCCTGTGACAAGTAAGTGTCAAAAGATTAAATATTTGAAACCTTGGATTATGGGATGAAACAACGGAGATTAGGAAAGGAGTAGGCAGAGTCATGGACAGTGTAACTTCTTGCAAGTGAGAAATAACTTCAGTTTCACATTGAAAGATTTGAAATCTGGAATGTATTTCACCATCCCTTCTTAATATCAGAAAAATGCAGATGGAGAATAGACTAAAAATGTTGAGAGGCAAGGTGCAGAAAGGAAACATGTTAGAGAAGAGAAGACCACAATTGCCTGGATCTGTGAACTTCTTTTGCAGTACACTGTTCTGCTTTACTACTTTGAGTGACTGTGTCTGACAGCTTTATGGAACAAATTCTCGGTGTTAAATAAGATCCACGTATTAGTGAGAGATTTGTGGAGGGCTACAGTCCTAGGTATAGGCTGATGCTGTTTTGCCTCCAGTGTGCTCCCTGGGCCAAAGCTGTTGGCTCAATACCTCTTAGGAAGATATATAAAGCTCCCTTTCCCTTTGATCCTAGATAAGAGTAGGGCATAGTCTGCTCCATGTTTAATATGAAATGTTGATGTATTGAGTCAAAACGTAATGTTTGGTAAATTGTACTTGAAGATTTGTTCTTCAAAATTTATTTTATATGAAGAAATGCAGCTTTTACTTCCACCATTTGTGCCTCTTCTAGTCATTTTTCCTCAAGTGAATAGAACAGTAATGTATGACCTTTCTTTACCTATACATCCATTTTATTTGAAATCTGGGGGGAAGAAAGAGAGAAAGGAAAAGAGACATTCTGGAAAAAAAATATTTTGCTTCCATGCTGTGACTTTGTTTTCAATAGTATATCAAGGTTAAACTGTGGTTGATTATACCTCTTTGATCTTTACAGAAACAGATTCACGAATGGAATTTTACAGCCTCCTCCATCAGGGGAATAAGGTTGGTATATCAGAAAACAGCATAGTGGGGTTGTTTGTTTTGTATTTCCTTTAAGTGGGAAATCTGGATGCTGCCTTAAATTGCTGCTTTGCATTATTATAAAAGCTTGTTCTGTCCAAACCACCTTGAAATGTCCACACAAAAGAATTTCCCTTTCCATGCATGGGCAGAGCTGTACCTATTTCTTATAGGAATACACATCTAAGAGGGGTGTGTGGTCATGCATGTTCTCTGGTATACTTTCCCATTTTCAATTGTGTATCTGTTATTTATGTCTTTTCTAAATGCTTCAGTGACATTATTGCCATCTCTGAATTTAAAAACATGGAGGTCAGAAACCTTTAGCTTCTTCTGTAAGTGAAAGAATAGTTTGTTTTCCTTTAACAGGTAACGATGGTATCTATTTTCTGGTTTTAATTCAGAAATGCTTCTGATATGGCTCTATCTAAAAAAACCTACTTACTAAAACTTGTATTATTAGAGACATGTTAAATGAGGCATGGACGTAGTTTGTGCTAAGGAAAGAATTCTTGAGCTGGAAGGAGACTGCTAGTGGAGTTTCTCAAGCACTAACGTTTAAATAATTAACATAGTTCCATTTTGTGATGCTAGATTAGTGGAAACACTAGACACAAGTAAATGAGTCCAAATATTAGTACAAAAAAAGATCAAACATAGAAAGAATAGGGTTGTTCCGAGAACTGAAAGGATAGAAAAGAATCATAGTGATAATAACAACTGCAAAATACATGACTACATTTTGAAGCTAGTTTACATGTCTTAAATTGGACTACTTTGGTGACAGAAAAATGAGACACAGAACATCAGGACAGGAAAAAAAGAAAATAAAATAAATCTATTTTATATAGCTATCTGTGTAGCCTGGCAGTGCGTCTATGGCATTCTTGCTCTCTCGTCTGCATTATGCAGGCTGTAGCTAAGTGACGGAGCCATAAGGACAGGGAACACAAGGTGGGATTTTGCCTTCCCTCTAAGTTCATGAGTCACTACATTGGTGGTTCTGGCCTTTCTGGGGATGTAAATGGCTGTTGGGTGGAGCCATTTGTGTGAGTGCATAAGCTTAAGAGCTTGAAAAGATTTCTGATTCAAGTACAAACATGAATTCAGATACCTAATGAGTTCTGTGGTTCTCAAAAGGGCTTCTCGGCTGTGATTTTGACCCTAAACACTTAACTTTTACGTCCCAAGTTTGTGTTCCCTGAACTTGAATAATTTGCTTAAGAAAATAAGCTCAGTGAGAAAGTATTTCTAATTTCTCTGAATAAGGGGAGTGTTTATTGCTATAAAGTCTCAATTGTGGATTTGGACATATTCTACTACAACTGTAGCATTTTCTTCTTCTTAAAAAAAAAAAAAAAAAAAGAAAAGCTGGCTTTGGTTTTCTGAAACATATTAATTGCCTTCAGACAACACATTGCACAGAAATTAAACTTTGAGAAAAATAACAATTAAGTGGAATCAAGCAATGCATTTGCTTCAATTCTTACTGCTGGGGATTACAAAGCTCAAAGAAACAATATTTTTAAACTTGGTGGAATTAGATCTTTGCTTTGTATATGATAACTTACAATTGCTGTACTTCTGAAATCACAGTCACTTTGGAAAAAAAAAGTGGTCTTGGTTAACTTATACTCTGTCAAAGTTCTAAAGTTATTTATGCTAACCAGTTCATCCACCTACGTTGCACTTTTTATAATACAGTATAATACTTAGATACTGTCTTGTCTATCCTATATTTGCCTTTGGAAGAATCATCTTGCTTTGTTGCATAGTTCTCACGTCAGGTATGTATTAATTTGCCTTGCTAGACTAGAAATTGCTATACTAGAATGAAGCTACAGAAGGGCATAATGTATTTTCACATATTTCTGAAGAAATCTTCCAGCAAAATTCTACTTTTTTGTAACGTTTGTCAATGTAGCCCTTAATGATGCTTCAGCAAGTTGGTTTTGTAACATTCTACAACTTTTCTATTGTCTACCGTCATGTATTTTAACTTATTAGCTCATCAGAAGCTAACCGAAATCTGAGTTTGACTAAACAGATCAGGCAAGAATCTCATCAATTGTATTTAATGCACAAAAATTAGGAGAATACCTTAACAAGTATAACGGTTTGGCATCTATGTAGAATAATGCCGAAGTGCAAGTCTTTGGAATAAGAGGTTAATTCCTAAATTTACTTTCATATTGATATAATGTTTTATGGCCTCTTCACTTCTCACTTCAGGGCATTTAGATGGGATGTATATGGCGCTGGCAGGACAAAATATGCAATAATCACTGTCAGAATTATTGCTGCAATCTGGAGTAAATACTGGTTGTCCTGAAACTTCTTTATCAGTATTAAGGCCATAACAGTATATACTTTGAAAGATCTGCTACATTGTAGGTATTTCCCAGTTTAGTTTTACTGTAGGAGTAATGGAATTATAAAAAGCAGAAGTACTTGTCAAGCTTTAAAGAAAGGCTTTTTAGCTGCATTAGTGTCAAAGCAATTCACTTCCCATTGAGGTGTCATCAAATACCACAAAATCTGACAGAACTGTGTAAAAAAGCAAGGGGAGGCAAATAACAAACAAACTTCAAACCACTTCAGTGTAGTATTTTACCAAAGTAAGCAGTAGCCTAATCATTTGTCAAATTTGGGATAGGATTGTAAAATACAAGAACAAACTCAAAGCTTCCAATTGTAATGAAAATAAATATAATTGCATACTGCCCCTCTGAGGTAATTAACTGTGAAAAAGATGTTTGCTAAGTGTTTTTAATTAAAAAAAAAAAGCTCTTCCTTGCTCTATTTCTTCCAATAGTTACATCCAAAATGGTAATTTCTTAATGTGAATTTTGCAGCATTTCCAAGTTTGATGAACGATGTTGTTTTCTTTATGTCCATGACAACTCTGATGACTTTCAAATCTACTTTTCTACAGAACACCAATGTAGTAGGTGAGTACAGTTTGTGTGGGTATTGCATGAGAGATCTATTTCCTAAATAGAATTGATTTATCAAAGACTGAAAGCTGACGTTTTTGCTTCAGAAATTGTTTCTTCACTTATTTTTTCTTGATTCAGAAGCAATGGGCTAACACCAGTGATATTTAAGGTGGTGAGACCACTGTCCCATTACACTTGTTGGCTGGTTCTAATCAGTTTACCCAGAAGTTATTAGGTCTGAGAAAAGGCTGAAATAGCTTATTCTAATTTATAACTATTATTTTCCTTTTCTGTGACTTGACCATGTCATGTAAGGTCACATATTGGTTTGGGTTCTGCAGAGTGCATTGCATAAAAGATAGGAAGCACTAAAATTAATGTTACCTGCTCAGACTTAATTTGGCGTTGCAATTTGTGTGTTATGAAACACGGTCACAATTTTCTATGCCTTATGCACTGCACTACAGAAGCCTGTTCCAAAGATGTGTGACTATTAGTCAGTGCAAGAGATGTGAATGCTTTATAATAGTTTTAATAATTTGTTACAGAATGTGGAAAAAAGTGAGTGGCTTGGGCAGGAAACTACAGGAAAATATATCCTTGTACTTTAGGATCTCCATCCCAGAGAACTAGCTGAAATTACTTAAAACCCTATTCTTCAAAACATGTTATTACTTTTATATTCTTGGCTTTCTGCCAGGCTAGAAACCACAAAACCTGTTTTTCAGAAATACTGAGTAATCTCACTTTAACCAAAGTTCATAGGAACATCTAAATTAAACTGAAAGTAATAAAATTCTCATCAGTACACAGAAGGAGAACCACCCAATACGATGCCACAAGTTTAGCACTACTGAATTGAACCACTGAAAATCAATTTTTAATTTTTTAATATCTCAGCTTTTTTTTTCTAATTACATTTGTAAATACAAGGCCATACTAAGCACTTTCTGTCAAAGTGTTCAGAAAAAATAATCAAGTTGGATATACCAAGATTTTACTGTGCAATTACAAAAACAAGCAAGTGTTGGGTTCTGATACAACAAATAAAATGGTTTTATAAATAATTAGTCATTTCAGTGTGTGTTTGACGTTCTTCCTCATTTAAAATAAGATAAATGTGGAGAAAGTAAGTAATGAAAGAAACCTAATGAACATGCTAGTCAATTTATTAGGTTGAAAGCTAAGTCCACCTTGCAAAGTATGTTTAATCGTAGAAAAAGATACTTTTCTTTGATGCTGTGCTATTTATTACTTTTTTTTAGATTCTGTGGGTTGGTAAAAGAAATTTTGTCTGATGCCATTGGCAATACTTTGGAACTAGAGGGAGAAATAGATGGAGACACGTTGGAGGTATGTGTCAAGCATAAAAGATTCAAGAACTCTCAAATTTATTCTCAGTCTTCCCTGTACTTTGTCTCAGTATACTAGAAAGATAATAAATAAATAGCATTTAAACCCTGAATTGTATATGAATTTTCAATTCTTACAAAACTCTTTGTGTTCAAGACTTGCATTCGTTTTAAAACACACATTTTTTGATAAAGGGAGCCTGTTACCACTGTAAACTACGAAATCCATAATAAAGGGTGTTATGTTGCAAACAATCTATAGATGAGAATCATCTGATATCAGCTGGCTTATATGGATAAAAAAGATATTTAATAAATTCTAGGAGAAAGCCATTTAGCAAAGGTACTTCAGTTTTTCTAGCTGATACCTGGTACTATTACTACTCCAAGTAATTCCATTTAACAGGCTTTTTCTGTCACAGAGATTTACAGATATTTAGGATCAGATTAATCCATCATGCTTCTTACTTATCACTGAAACATCCATGTTAGGAACCTAGTATCTGCAGGCTTTCTTTATAATTAGTACACAGGGGAAAAAGAAAACAAAACTTGAAAAGTTATTCAAATTTTATGGAGGTTCAGGCAGCTGGATCCATGTCTTCATAAGCCACACTGCCTCATAGCAAAAATCCGGCATTTTAGCACTTTTTAAGTATATATGCTGTGCTTCTATTTATTTGTTTTGAAATCTGAAATACCACCATAAAAAGTGTGTTGTTTTATTTGTGGTCAAGCAAATTCAATCTGATTTATGAGTGTAGAAACCCTGATGTTGTTTGAGTTGGGTATCTTTCTGACTGTGTCTCATTCCAGCAATTCTCTTAGGCTTATAACTCAGAGCAGCTCTTTATGATAGTGATCCTTTTGTAGTACCTAAGGCTTTGGAAGAGCAATAAGAAAGTAGAAGACTGTGTACTGGACTGCTGAATGGAATTGCATTGTGGGGAAGATGTGTTTTTGCACTGAAGTTTGTGAATAATGGCCACAGAATTCTCTCCTCAAGTGAAAAGGACAAGAGAAGCACATCTGTTAAACTCAGCTTTATACATACATCTGTGTTGTTGGCATAGGATCAGGGCTCCACCTTGGCAAAGACAGGCTATTATCTATAGCTGCAGATTTTATATTACATACTTACATATTTAGCTAATAGCAGGACAATCTCCAAACAACATAATCTATTCAACTGTATAATAGGCTTTCAGAGGAAGTGAGCTCACCATGACTTGAGCCTTTTAAATATTGGACTTGAAAAATCACTTGAGAATGCACAGCAAGAAACTATCCTGTGTGGGTTGATGTATGAAGGAACAGCTACAGAAATTAATTTTAAATAAATCTTTAAGCTATATCATTCTACATACCTTGAATTTCTCACTATTATCACCTCGTACTTACTACCTTAGGTCAGGAAATTAAAACAGAAATCAAGATACAGAAGGGGAGTATTTATTTGTTTAGCTTATAAATGAGCAAAGACATTTGATGTCTTTCTGCAGCCTGAAATCTTGCATTTAAGCAAAGATAACATGCACATGCAGCTTTGTATGGTTTTGATGGGCTTGACAAGCACAGAGAAAGCAGTTCTTACCATATATAAACCATCTGTTCGTATCTTGGAAAGAGGAAGAAATAACCTTGAGCACAGTTTGGGAGTAGGAAATATTATTTCTGTTAGAATGTTTTCTAACAGAAATAATTCTGTTAGAATTTCTAATTAATTCTGTTAGAATTAATTTCTAAAAGGTTAAATATTTTGGACTGTGGTATTATTTGAAAGCAAATACAGTTTAGTTTTATAGCTAAAAAGCATTTAGAATAAGAGTGAGTGTGGGCGGTCCTTTCTACCTTAAGGTAGTCAATTCTGGATATTGATATTGAAGAAGTTCCTATCCCTTTAAGAGTACCTTCTGTACTCCAAATGGTATATACTAGAGATCAGACTGTGACCTACCCCATTCAATGCAGAAGGTCAGCTACGAACACTTGTTTACTCATACCCGATGATTGAATTCAGCATCCAATGGATCACATATTCAGACTTCTGGCAACCAGCAGTGATTTATTTGATCTTTGTAGCTCTTGGAAAAAAAGGAGGCAAATGTAAAGTGGCATCAAGTATATACAAGTCTATTAAACTGTCTACGAACTAGCACAGAACTATAAATCTCAATGATTTCCATGTATTATGGGACCCAGATTAATGAACATGGGTTTCTCCACAGTAATTTAAGAGTTGGCTTAGGACAAGTCTGTTGCAGATAAGGTTACTGTCAACCTTAAATTCTGCAATGTGACTGCTGTCTTTTTTTTTTTGTACAGTTTTATGTCATATGATAGCTGTGAAAGTTGGATATGCTGCTGCCAAAGAACCTGACAAGTTTTACATGTGGCGTTTTGGGTCAGTTATACCTGTCATATAACGAAACTATGTTATGAACCGTGAAGCGCTGAAACATGGAAATTGAAACTGTACTAAAGCTGCGCTAGCTCAAGTTTAGTTCCACTGAGCAGAATATGCTGTTAGGATAAACGACAGATGGTTTTTCTTTAGCACTTTCCATACAGCAGCATGAAACTTACCATCTTTGCTGATGAAAAGAGAGGGGAAAGCCAGTGACATGCGGACATTGCAATACGAACTGGGAAGACACTTCAAAGAGATAGATCTGAAGACTGCATTCTGTATGAGAGCGCCTTATTGGGTGTAGCAGAAAAAGTGGTAATTGACAGAAATGTCAGTAGTTGTGGCCACTGTAAAAAGGTTGGTTGTTTTTCTAAAATACAGAATCCATATGAAGCCACAGAGAATACCCTGTAGTTTTCCCATATGGGACATCTTGGATTTGGGAAGATAGTAAGGGAGGTCTGTGTACTTCTGATAATATCTGAGGCTATGAAACTGTCAAATTCCTTTCTTATGTCTTTGCAAAAATACTTTTTCAATATCCCTTATCAGTTCCCTGATTTGATTCTAGGATCTGCTGCTTAACCCAACTTCCATAAGACATTTGGTTTTATTTAGTGTCTAAGATACACTTCCATTAAGCATCAATCAGCTTTTTCACTGACCTTTATAGTAGGAGAGTTCTCTGATAAGATCACCATATGGGACAAGATCATGAGGTGGTGTAAATTACTGTAGATTTACCGAAGCCAGTAAACCAGCAGTAAACTCAGCTGGCAGCATGACCTGCCATGTTTCAGCAGCAATGGACACCACTACTCCATATATTTAATCATTCTTGGAGAAGACAAGCATTTTTTATTTCCCCTTGCCTTTTGGGAAAGCTGATAAGGAGGGGCATATGTCAGCAATGAATTTTGCAGTTGCTAAGATCAGATAAGACTTTAGGATCTTAAAACACTGTCCACTCCCTGTAATAAGAATGTCACTTTTATCTATTTTTTAAACTACTCGGGGTAGATTTAGATCAGATATTAGGAAGGAATACTTCACTGTGAGGGTGGTGAGGCACTGGAACAGCTTGTCCACAGAAACTGTGGCTGGCCCAGCCCTGGAAGTGTTCAAGGCCCAGCTGGATGGGGCTTTGAGCAGTCTGGTATAGTGGAAATGCCCCTGCCCATGACGGGGGGGGGGTGGAACAAGATGATCTTGTTCCAACCCAAACAATTCCATGATTCTATGTTCCATACATTTATGTATTTTAAGGGCTCTGTCAGCAATTCTTAGAGATGATACCTGAGCGTGTTCTTTTGACAGCACTGTTTCATTGAATTTGACATGCTGCTGTGTTCCTTGTTTGGGTGAATGCACTTCAAAGTTGGTCAGGGAAGACTGTTTTGCAAAGCAAGTAACATGGACATTTTACAAGTTGTATAATGTACCAGGCTGGTGAGTAGCCTGTTGTACTACAGCTGTACTGCAGTAACTACTCTGTGTCATACTAACTCAGTATAGCACATAACTGTTGTTAAAGGTCTTTGTAATGTCAAATGTTAGTGACAACAATTTCTGTGCTGTTTTGTTTATCTTTTCTGCTCGCAGTATGAATATGATTATGATGAGAATGGTGACAGGATAGTTCTAGGGAAAGGTACTTATGGAATAGTTTATGCTGGAAGAGACCTTAGCAACCAGGTCCGAATAGCCATCAAAGAAATACCCGAGAGAGACAGCAGGTAAGATCTGATTTATTGTTACATACACATTGCTAATGAAACTGCTGTTGTCTGCCAAAAAACTTCGTGTTCTTGGCATGTATTTCTATGTTGTTAGTTTAGTGTACTAAAATTCAGTTATCATTTCCCCCTAGTACTCAACACTACCCTTTAGAAAATAAAGACTTCTTATTTTTTGGAAAAGGTATTATATATATCATAAATACCACGGGTTTATGATTTATATATATACTTCAAATTCTAGAATTTGGGGATTTTAAGTTGTAGTTGTATCTCATATTGGTTTTGGGGAGGCGGAAAAGCATAAACAGAGTTTTGCAGACAAAAACAATACTATGTAACAATACAGAAGAAATAAATTCTTTGAGGGCATGTTTTTCCTTCAGGGTTCCTCTGAGACCTACTTCTGTATTTTTTCTGAGTAGGCAGCCAGTCACACTGCATTTTGAAGGTCATTGACAAGAGGTTTGCTGAAAGTTGGGTCAGTATCCCTAAAATCCATTCTCTTTGCAAACTAGCATTTAAGTGTAGGCTAGAACCTTTTCCTGCACGATAACATACTCCACTTGCCTTTTTTTTTTTTTTAATAGATATTCTCAACCTCTTCATGAAGAGATAGCACTACATAAATATTTAAAACATCGGAACATTGTTCAGTATCTTGGATCTGTTTCTGAAGATGGATACATTAAGATTTTTATGGAGCAGGTGCCAGGAGGTTTGTATCATTCTGAGCTTAATCTCTCCAAGGAATCAAAAGCAGTTGGTACTCTAAACTTACTGAAAACACTTCTATGTTTGTGCACTGTGTTTGGCTTTTCTGCTGAAACATTAACTACTTTTTTCATATAAATAATAGATTTGAGGTGCACAGGTCCCAGAACCCTCTTCTCTTTCTGTAATAATTATAAATCTAGAGAAAAGTCACTAAAAGTATCTGGTGTCAATACCCATGTGTTATGAAACTGGAGTTTGAGCTGTATAGTCCCATTTAGCCTGAGCATCTGAATGATGATTGGAGCTTTTAGGGTAAGTTTCTGTTAAGCAGTAACACTGGTTGAGCTATTAAGTACTATTCTGTAACTGCTATAGATAAAGCACTGCCATTTCCTAGGTAGATTAAAGTTGTATACTTCCCTTGCTTATAATTTCCAAGTTTTCCTTCTCTATCCTTCTCTTCATGTTAATATGTAAAGTCCCTTTATATCTTCTCTAGGTCATGTTTCCATCTCCCTTTTGCTAGTTGCTCTTCAGTGTCAAGGATGTGTCAGAATGAGTGTTAAATTCTTGTATGAATATAATTTCCAAAATGAAAACAGAAAGAAGAAAATCGGGAAATAAATTCCAGTTTCCTAGGGAAGATCAAGACAAAAACATTCAGTGTAATTTAATACATCTGGGCATCCAACATAGGGAAGTTGTTTAATTTTTTAATTTCTCTGACCTTCTCACCCAAAAGCTGAGACGCTGGCATATGATGCATGCTGATGTGATGAGTTTGCACCAACACTTCCACTTGTTTTTCTGCACTTATTAAAATTATCACCTTGTTTAGTTCTTGTTCTTATATGCACAGTAGTAAGCTGTGATTAGTTGCTAGTGCCAAGATATTATTGAACTGATTCAGATCAAGGAACCAGCTGTTCAGATTATGCAAGATTCTTCGAGGAAACTTCACTTCAGAAAAGTGTTGAAAATCCCTTTAGCTGAATTTGTCTGGCATTAAGTAGAACCACTGCAGTTAGTTTATTATGAGCAGAAAAAACAAATCTGTCTTTATTTTGCTTCATGATTAAAATATTTGTGTTATTCAAAAAAAGATTAAGTACATTAGAAGTAAGGGAGGTGTAGATTGCCTGTCTCCAACCCTGAATATCCACTACTTGGTTTCTTTCAGGAACTTGCTTTCTTCTGTCTCTGAATATTTCTAAAAGTTAATCCTGTATTTGAAAGGAAAAGATTCTTGCCGTTTTATTTCTCCCCTCCCCACCCCAAGTAGATCCATGCATGTGGCTCATGAAACACATGACACATATTATAGCATATAATATCATACAGTGTTATCTTTAGCTTCTATTTCATTAAAGAGCTACATGGTTGCTAGTCCTAGTCTCAATAGTTGTTTGACTAAGTAATGGGGATGCATCCAGCCCTGTTGTAACATTTATTCCTGTCCTGGAAGTGAAAGCTGAGCTGGCAAGAAAGAAATAACCAGTCTAAACCAGCAACAAATTATGTGTTCTGAGGGATCTAGGAATAATTTGGGTTAATTATAGGTACTGCATTTCTCTTGTGTTAGGATATTGAGCAAAGGCTTAATCCAGACTTCAATGTTTTGTGCTAATTGAGGATTTACTATCTTGATACTTTCTTCTTAACTCTTGTAGGCAGTCTCTCAGCTCTCCTAAGATCTAAGTGGGGCCCAATGAAAGAACCTACAATTAAATTTTACACCAAGCAGATTCTGGAAGGCCTTAAGTACCTGCATGAGAACCAGATTGTACACAGAGATATAAAGGTAAAGTTTCCTTTAGTGGGTCTTGTTTGATTTGCTTTTTATCTTATTTAGTTCAGTTAGTTTTACTCTAACCTGAAGTAGAATTTTTAATAGTATTTCATGGAAGCTTAAAACAAAAGGAAAGAATAAAACAGCCCCTTCTCCCTGGTGCTGCAGGAAAATCCCTTTGTAGAGAGGTATATTACAACAATAACCACAAACTTGAAGGAGTATTGGGATTGGGATTTGGAATCTGTACTCATCTGTCTTCCCTCCTTCTCTCTCTTATCCAAACCACAGGGGGATAATGTTTTGGTGAACACCTATAGTGGTGTGGTGAAGATATCTGATTTTGGTACTTCCAAACGGCTGGCAGGAATCAGTCCATGCACCGAAACTTTTACAGGTAAGAGTAATTTAGCAGAGTTTATATGGGGTTTGATGATAGATTTAGAGTTGGAGCCAAGAGACTCTTTGGATTTGTGATGAAAACATGATTAGGTCTCTATTTTCAGGGAAGAATGACTGGGAGTGTAATCACTATAAACACAGGTTTGCTTTCCCTTCCCCTTTCCCCTTCCCTTTCCCTTCTTTCCCTTTCCCTTTCCTTTTCCCTCTCCCTTTTCCTCTCCCTTTCCCTTTCCTTTTCCCTTCTTTCCCTTCCCTTTCTCTTTCCTTTTCCCTTTCCCTTTACCTTTTCCTCTCCCTTTCCCTTTCCTTTTCCCTTCTTTCCCTTCCCTTTCTCTTTCCTTTTCCCTTTCCCTTTTCCTTTCCCTTTCCTTTCCTTTCCTTTCCTTTCCTTTCCTTTCCTTTCCTTTCCTTTCCTTTCCTTTCCTTTCCTTTCCTTTCCTTTCCTTTCCTTTCCTTTCCTTTCCTTTCCTTTCCTTTCCTTTCCTTTCCTTTCCTTTCCTTTCCTTTCCTTTCCTTTCCTTTTGTAATTTCTTCCATTTTACTCGTTTTCTTATAAAAAACACTTCTTCAGTGTGTTGGGGTCATAGTTTTTCTTCTAAGTGTTTTCCGTTAAGTAGCAACTGATCTGTTGCAATTATATCTGGAAACAAAAGTTGCTGGGATACATCAACTTTTTCATTTATTAATCTAGGTATTAGTAACTCATGCATGCATGAGTATGTCTTGAAGTATGTCTGAAAGTGCAGAAAACCAAACACAAGCTTAAAAATATTTTCAGTTTTGAGGCATTAATTATAAAACCAAATCAACTGGCTACCTTGGTGTTGTCAGCAGTAAAAAGAACAGTAGACATAAAAATATTGGGCTGGTATATTGCAGAAAAGCTTTAATATACAACAAGGTGGTAAAAACTAGCAGTATTCCGGGAAAACAGAATTTGCTGTGTAACAGCTAAAACTCCACATTGAAAAATGAATATATGGTTGCATAATTACTCAACCCTTTTATCAGTGAAGATACAGATAACATGATGCTTTCATTTTTTATATGGCCATGTGCTGATATCAAAAATCACAAGCCTCATACTGGCCTGCAGTTTAAGTAAGTACACAGAAATAGCCATTAGTCCTGTGTGGAAGACAGAAGACAATAACTAGTCGCTATAAGAGATAGTATATGGAGAAATGGTATCTGAATTAAAGTCACCATACTGTAATAAGAAGAGGTACATCTTTCCTTGTGCCCTCCTTCTTTGTTCTCGTTCACATTTGCAGCCCTGCTTATGCTTCAGACATGGAATTTACCGTGAGAATATTTTACTCAAGTTCTTTTGGATTTAAAATCAGTAAGCAGGTGGCTATAGCCTAGATAGTTTTAAAAGATCTCTTGCTATTTGTTTTGTTCCTTAACTCAGTACATAAACTCTGTGGATTTTAGGCTTTATGCAATACAATCACATGATTCGAAGTATCAGGCTTCTAGTGGTTTAAATGTTACGCACCTCCATTCAAGACACACAGCCTGAGGGCAAAGCTGTGGCTTGAACTTTTGTTCTACAGCAGTCACATTTAATGATCACAGTAATATGCAATCTCTTTTATCTTCACCAGATGTTCTTTACTTAATAATTCACAGCTTTACAACAGTGTAATTTTATTGCATTCTTAAGAAGAAAAAGAATTTAAGGATGTCATAACAGAGCCAGTAGGCATTCATATGGAGAAAGTAGTACAGACTATCTGTAATTTGAAGGTTTTCATCACCTTTTACATGCATAATTTTTACAATTTAGTCTCTGCAAAAATTGTTTGATATAATTTTACATTCTGAGGAAGCATTTGGATTATGTGGCGAATATACTTTCAGCAGTTTGAAGCCTTGTATTAGAAAGGGAGGAGAGATAATTTATAGAAAAGATGTTAATATGTTTTAGCGCTGAAAGGGGAAATCAAATATTTTGGCTCTGAAAGGTTGCATTTGGCAATTTTTGACTTGCTTAGTGGTGTGTTAATTCTTTTTAATAAGAATGAAAACTGTAACACTTGACTATTCCTTTTGACCTTACCAGGAACCTTGCAGTACATGGCTCCAGAAATCATCGATAAAGGGCCACGAGGATATGGTGCACCAGCAGATATCTGGTCACTAGGTTGCACCATTATTGAAATGGCAACAGGCAAACCTCCATTTCATGAACTAGGGGAGCCTCAAGCAGCAATGTTTAAAGTAAGTACAGCTTTTTTTTTTTTTTTTGCTATAGACTTTATAAATTATCAAATACTGACTTTATTTTTTAATATTAACTTAATTGGTAGTAACCTTTTGTTATATTGCTTATCTTGCACAAACCCACAGTCTGATCAGTGTTCTTAATTCACTGAATGATCCCTCTCTGCTCTCAGCTGTATTGCTCTAGGGGAAATAGGTCATGACTCAGAGCAGCAATCTGAAAAATGAGTAAAGACTTATGAAAACTAATATTCTCTACCCTCTTACTTCTGTCACCTCCTGTTCTTGGTTTATTATTTTTGTCTTGGCAAAAAGCTATCTGACAATGACAACCAAGTTATTACTGCTCCTTTAAGTCTTCTAGCAGATGCCTTTTCACCTTATGTGCCTGGCACACAGTTGAGCTGTTCAGTGAGTTACACGTGTTACTTTTCAGCAGTTTATTGAGCTGTCTGGAAGCACTGGTTCAGTTCTGGGTGCTCAATATGCTCTGTGCAGGCTCATGAGGTAAGCTCTGGCAGGACTGTATGTGTCCCTACATCCTGCCCATAAGCACTTCCATGCCACAGAGTTGTGTTCTGATGTTTCAGAACTGGCATTTTTTAAAAATACATCTGTTGCCCTTCTTTCTTCAAGGATGCGGCAGAGTTTTTATCATTGTTATTGCAGACTGTGCTAATGTGCAATTGTCAGGCATTTGTTTTTGTTTTCTGCTTCTTTGCTCTGCTGGGACCTGCTTGGAACTGCCTTTTACTGGGCACCATAAATTGCAAACTGTGGTTTCTTTTTGCTGTGTAATAAAAGTAAGCAAGCTGGAAGCTAGGTTTGAAGCCAGGAATGAAGCAGGCTGACTGGGCAAGCATGTAAAAGAACAGAAGCCTGAAAACTTGGGATATTGAACTTTTTGAGGTCGCCACCTCCACACGTGCACACTCTGTTGTGCATAGGGCAGGTGAGGAGAGGGGAAGGTCTAAGTCTGGCTGTGCAGTCACTATAGAAATTACAAATGGCCAAAGAGTTGGAGGAAGCAGAGAAAAGGGGCTGAGAAAAAAAAAAGACTGAACCAAGAACTGGAAATAACTCCTGGCTGAGTGTATGTTGTGTGATATTTAATCTGTGAGCATTGTATGTGTGCATCTGGTTCTGTGTGAAAGGAGTGCAAACAAATGACATTCAATGGAGATAAAGTAAACTAATGTTGCCACAGTTTCTGGATGATTACAAAAAAACCTTATTCCCCTTGAGCAACAGAGATGAAGATAAGAGCAGAGACGTGTTCAAATTTCCTGGTCATGGGTTTTGTTTAGTGTGTAAGGGTATAACCTAGCACCAATGTGCTACCAGCTTGTGCCGCTGCCGCAGCTGAAAATGGCTGTGTGACCAGCATACACAAAGAGCAGGCTGACCACAGAGATAGGCGTGTCAAGAGCAGCTGTCAGAGCGCAGCAAGCAGGTGGCTGTCTTCTCCTTTAATCCAAAGCAAAACTCTTGCTGGGCTGATGTTTTGCAGTGGTGAAACTCTACCCCCCATTTATATAGCACTGTCCAAAATGCACATGCGGTTTTACAAATCAGGCAGAGATGCTGCATTGGACAGGGTAAATGTGTAGATGTCGTATCCTGCCAATAGGACATCTATTTACTTTTTTTTTTTTTTGCTAAATACATCAATTTAATTGTAGAGGTCAACAAGCTGCATGTATTAAAAATGTTACATGCAGAAAATACTAGTTTTGAATGTGCTCAGAGCCATGGTTTGGAAGGCCTTAATGCATTATTAGCATTTTCTATTTTGCACATAGAAGAACATTCAAACAGTAGCATGACTGCTCAGCACTTTTTTCTTCAGCTTGCATTGAAGTTGAACCACTATTGTGAGTGCCTGATGGTGCCACAGTGTGTTAATGCAGCTGTATTATGAGATTATTTAAAAGCAGCTGACACTTGTTTAACTTCTGGGCTACTTGTCTCCCTTGTGGCTGGCCACCTTCTGCCTGGTTCTCCAGAGCCTCTTTTATGTAAAGATGCTGAGACTACAAGCCCTAATCTTGCCAGCTACATACCATACAGTGCACACGTTACACAATTCATACTTCCACAGATTTATGCCAGATTGGCATTGAGATTAAGAAAGCAGTGAAGGAGCTGGAAAAATCACTACTGAGCAACCTGTAGAATCACGTTTTTTCATTACTTAAAAGAAGGGGGGGGGAGGGAGGGATGTAGTTAAACCTTGGGACATCATGTGGTTTTCAGTTAACACTGAAAGGCAAGGGAAGACATCTGGCTCTGTGTCAGGGGTGGTGATGAGGTCTGGCAAGGTCATTACGAGCATTCATACAGGAAATTTGGCAGTGGCAGGAGCAGGACAGGTACAGGCCCCAGGCAGTCAGTGCTAGAGGAGGAAGTTGCTCGTGTTGCTGCAAACGAATGTGCTGAAAGAGTCACAACTGAGACACACAGTACTGGGCAGGGGTGATGGGAAGCCTAGGAAGTAACTGGAGGGATTTGTGGATGGTAGAAGCAGCATTTGAAGCACTTGGTGAGGATAATGTCCAGATTGTCTGAAGGTGGATGGTTGGATGCATCCATATCTTGATGTATGTGTCCACATGGATCTTCATGCCGTGTTTGTAACGAAGTAAGACAGGATTAGAAGCTTGTTGACACTTCACTGCTTTGTGTGGGTGCCTGGATCAATCCCTTTCCAAACATCAGAGGCAATATGAGAGATTATACTATGAGAGAGCTTTGGCCCATGGTCTGTGCGTAGTTGTTTAGTATAAATAATTTCTATCTGTGTTTTTCTTGCAGGTTGGGATGTTTAAGATTCATCCTGAAATTCCAGAATCGGTGTCTGCTGAAACAAGGGCCTTTATTTTGCTCTGTTTTGAACCTGATCCTAGTAAACGTGTTACAGCATCTGACTTGCTCAGAGATTCCTTCCTGAAACAAGTAAACAAGGGCAAGAAAAGCAGAATTGCATTCAAGCCTTCAGGTAAAGAATTATCAGCCAAATCCAAGTCAACATCATCATTAAGTGTTATATAAAAGATTGGAATTATTAAGCACACTCTTTTACAAAGGACATTTCCCTTTGCCAGGAAAGCAGCAGGAACTCAACAGTGAAAGTGTCTGTGATTTGCAATTAGACATATTTAAATTTAACAATTCCCACAAAATATGGTGTCTTGCTATTTTGCATTTTGCTTGCTGAAATCTCCCAACCCTGTTTTTCCTCTGTCCAGAAATGAATGCCTCATTTACAGTAAATTACAATTAGAGAAATGGCAGTTGGTGAAGACTTTCCAATGCAGTTCTACATTTTAGATTCAGAATTACTTCAGAGGTCTGAGTTTTATAGAGTAGGTGTTTGGCACCTGAAAGGGCAGGTCTATCACGTGTTCAGGTCTATACAGGTTGGCACTTTCAAACTTGGTATGCGACTTACTTAGAAATTTGTCACAGAGCTGTTGAAGTAGCTGTTTAGTGGGTTATTTTATCTGCCTAGCATGTTCCTCCCTTACATCCGTATATCAGCTGCTTTCTCAGTGATGAGATAATAAACCTTAATATAGACCTGCCAAATAAATCATTACTGTTTGAAGGAACTGTCCATTTAAAAATAGGCAGACTCATTGGTCTCTCTGCTTCTTTCCCCTCTCTGTACACACACACATACAAGCACTCCCAATGCAAATTGAATTGCTGAATGGAATTCTAAGGGGAACTAGCAAAGAATTTGACATCTAGCTGAACTGGGCATCTCTTGTCCTGAGGGGCACTGAGAACTGCAATCCCTGCAGTTACACTGGGGTAATGGGAGAGTTCACACTGCTCAGCCAGGGCAGTGGCAGTCAGGAACTGCAATAATGTTCTCTGGAGCTTTTCAGCCCTTGCCTGAGGATGTTTTCCTGGAAAAATTGCATAGTACTAGAAAGGAAGGAGCTTGCCTTGTTAGCTGCCCTGAGAGCAACAGGCTCTTTGTCAAATACCAGGGGAGGTGCAGCTGTCTTCTGTACTCCATGCCTCCTTCTGCTCTCCTCCTTTCTTCTTCCACTCATTGATGAGGTTATGGATCACCTTTAGATGGCCAGAGGATCAGATGCTGCAGGGTTAAGCACTGACCTGCAGCAAGAAGCAAGCTCAGTGCTGACCGTTGTTATGAGTGGAGTGGGCAAATGCTATGAAAATTGTTTACTGGGTGAGAAAAGGGAAAGGCAATGTGGCTGCAGCTGAGCGTGTGCTCTGCTGTGCCAGAGCTGGGAAAAGCTGTGCTGGCTGCTGCAGCCATCTCCAAGGGAGTTTGGCAGGCTAAAGCAGGTCCTGGCCCAGCAGTTGCCACAGTCTCACCTTCAGCAGCTCACTCTGCCTCCTCCCTCTACTGTTTTCCTCATTGCCAATTTCCTCAGCTTTGTGCCCATCTTTCCTCCCTGTCTCCACCCCTTTTTTCTTTCCAGTAATAAAGACAGCCCAGAGCAAATATCAACTCTTAACTCTTGGGACAGCAGCTTTCAGTTTTCTGTTCTGCTGAGATGCCTCGAACCAGTTCTCACAAAGTGACGCATATTGTTTCATTTATGTGACTGACCTCAGCCATTTGAACATCAGTTGCATACCATGGAGTGTGTCAGAGCTTTCTGAACAGCTTTTAACTTCAAATTCTCTTCCTCCCCCACCTCCATATCATTTGTAGTGACAAGCATCAACACCTTTTGTGATATCTTCATGGATGTCTGCACTCTGACTTGACAGAACTTCTTCCTTATCTTTCCAATCACATAGCTGCAAACTGGCTATCAGGATGATTGCAGACCCTCAATATTTGTTATTTTCAATTTGTTCTTACTTTTCAAGATGAATTGGAAGGTAACAAGAGATTTCCTTTAGGCTGGTGCTGAGAGACAGCCCTTACTGAGGGCAAGGGGACATGCAAGAGAGGCCTCAGGTGTTAGAGAGGGAGCAAATGTTTGTCCATTAACACAGTCAGGCAGAGGTGAGAAGAGTGGGTATGAGAGTGCTTCGTGCTTAGAGAAATGGCTGTGGTGGAGCAGCTGATGGTCACCTGTTGGTTTGATTCAGGCTCTTAAACAGCTGTATGTGCAGTTGTACCACTTTGTGAGGCCAGGGGAACCAAGGAAGAGAGTGTGTGTGTGTATATATGTGTGTGTGTACATGCCAGAACGGGTAATAAAATGGCATTGTATATGTGCATCTAGCTGCTTTGCTGTCTTTGAGTTCAGCAACTAGCTCATTCACACCTTTTGTTACTTATGCATATATTGATTTTGAGTTGTATCACTGCTTTCTGTCAATAAGGTTACCTCTCCCTCAGCCATTTTACAAAATGAGGTCTTGATATCACTGACTATGATCACAGCTGTTTTAAGCACATTGCCCTTTTCTGCCTAGTTCTGTTACATGTTTTACAATGTCTGTTCATAGATTGTAATCGTAATACATACCTCCCCCTGCCAATCCATGGAGAACAGGCTGGCAGTAGCAGCAGTGAGCATGGCTCTGTTTCGCCAGACTCTGATGCACAGCATGACATGTTTTTCGAAAGGCCAAAGAGATCTATTTCAGAGATTCAGACAAGGCATCCCATTTCCCATTTACTAAGGTAAAGCATTTGCTTGTCGCTTGACACCCATGAGGGATTATGTGGATTTAATTCACATTATATTTTATCTGAGGGCAATCTTTTCACGTAATGACTAGATAAGCAGGTTGTTAAAAACAGCAAGCAAGTTGCACAGGCAAGTTAACAGCTAACTTAAATGTTGTCTATATTTAATTAATGAACAATTTTTTTCTCCTGAAGGTTTCCACATATTGATAGACTGCCCCCATTTCCCTGCTCAGTTAATAAATGTCAGTCGTCTCATTGACAATGGATATGGATTCAGGAGTTAGCAGAGTTAGAAGAGTTGATCCTTCCCATGTACTCATGAAAAAATGTGGGAATGTGGAAGCAGAAAGGCAGTTCTGCTGCTCAGAGAGCACCGTTACTTTCAAATGAGTATGTTACAGTATGGGGCCAGAGAAAATAAACAGTTACCTTAGTCCAGGGTTTTCCAGTTTCATCCCCAGAATTGAACCAGTGCTGGGGGACATTGATACCAGCTGCTCAGCAGGATGAAATCGGCCTCGTGCTTTTGGGTTCAGTGGGGTTTATGCCAGCTGAAGATCTGAGTCATCTTCTGTCTCAGACTTAGTATTTAACAGTCTGATCAATCCACTGCTGCAGTTTAACTCATACTTTAACCTCCAGAGTATCCCTACTGGCTTCTAACAGTACAGCTGTTGTTGCTAATGCTGTCTCTCTGGTGTTCTTGTCGTCCGGTTGCTGACACAGTGCACCTGATGAGGGCTCAGCCTCAGAGGACAGGAGCACCTCTCCTTCCATTGAGGACAAGGATTCTGGTCTGTTTCTGCTGAGGAAGGACAGTGAACGCCGAGCAATCCTGTATAAAATCCTTAAGGAAGAACAGAATAAAGTTGCTTCCAATTTGCAGGACTGTATTGCACAGGTAATTTCACTTCAGCTCTCCTTTTCCCATGTTAAAAGGAAGATGACATGCCAGGTAGGAGTACTCCTTTTCTGGAAATTAACAAATGAAGGAGCTTGGATTGCTCCTTCTCAGTACCTTTAATCTCTCAGACCTGTAACTGTCTGGGCTCTGGGGTTTATTTCCTGAGGAAGAGGTCTGAGCCATTTGATATGGGGTTGTGAGGCTGGTGGGTTGGGTTTGTTCGCTTTTAAAGGACGGGGAAATGGAACACCAGGTAGTAATTGGTATGATTTGCTTCAAGGATAGATAACTGATTAACGGGTTGTAATTCAAAGCATATGTAAACTAGGTGCTAAGGACACTCCATGAATCTTTAAAAAGCTAAGGTAGATTTTCTGCAGCAGGAAGGGTTGAATGGGAAGGTTTAGTGACTGTAAAGAATAACAAGAGAAATCTTGTGTTCATTTAACCCATACCTAAGCAATGCCACACACCAGAAACAGAATTGATTGCTTAGCTTTTTCTGCTTAATGTCTGGTTCTAACAGTAGAAACACCTGTTCTCGGCAAAGCTGTGGTTTTTCACCCGGATGCCATTCACATGAAGGGGACCCTGCTGATTCTTCTTGCAGTACTCCTGGCCAGCTGTTGGTCCTGGTACAAAGACCCTTGCAGCACAGCTGCCAAGAGTCCTGCTGCTCCTGGGGTGAGCCTGGCACGGGCAGCCTGCTCCACACAGCACATCACAGGGGTTTGCTTCTCCCCTGTGACTTCCTTCCACCACGAACTGCCTCATAGTGCAGAGCAGCTTGTCCCTGACTGAGGGGCTCCTTGTAAGGCTCCACAGGCCCAAGAGGAAAGCCCCCAGACTCAGGCTGGGGAAGCAATTAATGTAAATTTCTGCTCTGAGCTTAAACTGCAGAATAGCTCATAGTCTGACAGAGGACTAAAATTCCTACGTGAGATCTTAGAAATAACCAGGGGTCTCAATAATTTCCAAGGGCATGTAGCGACAGGACAAGGGGAAACAGTTTCAATCTGACAGAGCGGAGATTCAGGTACTAGGAAAAAATGTCTGCCTGTGAGGGTGATGAGGCACTGGCACAGGCTGCCCAGAGACGCGGTGGCTGCCCCATCCCTGGCAGTGTTCAAGGCCAGGTTGGACGGGGCTTTGAGCAACCTGGTCTAGTGGAAGGTGTCCCTGCCCATGGCATGGGGGTTGGAACTTGATGATATTTAAGGTCCCTTCCAACCCAAACCATTCTGTGATTCTGTGATTATTTAGTAACAGCAAGTCCTATGTTAGTCTCCAGCTGTTTTACAGCCCTGGTGTAATAATTTATTTTCCATAATTTATGTAATAGTTTTCCCTTTACCTTTTAATTATATAGGCGGCTGTTCTTACAGGCCCTTGGATGACTTTAACTGTGGGGGTTGTGGACTGGAAATCACAGAATACAGTCAAGTCCTATCACTGTGTAATCTTAGACCTTTTACTGACTTAAATACATAATGTAAACATAATTATTGGCCTAAGGAAATCAAATGTCTGCATAATTAGATATTAGTCCAGATCCAGCTTATTGAAAGGATAGCATCTAAAAAATTGGCATCTCTTACAGACTGCTGTTTTTATGGAGGAGAGCTGCCCTCTCCAGTACGTTGCAGAAATGTGTAGGGATTGCCTGGAACCTCTTCCCTTTGTGACAGCCATGGTGCCAGCAGACTTTTGGTTTTGTTTTTGGGTTTGTTTGTTGTTTTATTTTTCAATAGGAATTACTATTTAAAAAAAAAAAAAAAAGAAAATAAAGGCTTTGCAGAAACAAAGGTTCTGTGATTTCTGCATGTCAGTGTGAAGCATACACAGGCAAAGCTAGAAACTGTAATCCTAAAACTACTATTGCTGCTAAAAGGATGTTTAATGACTCTGGGTTTTCCATGATATACGTTCATTATCTTTTCTTCAGAGCTCTGAAGAACTGCAACTTTCAGTGGCCCACATCAAGCAAATTATTGGGATTTTAAGAGACTTCATACGCTCTCCTGAGCAGAGAGTGATGGCTTCTACCATATCCAAGCTGAAAATGGATTTGGACTTTGATAGCACTTCCATCAATCAGATTCATCTGGTGCTGTTTGGATTTCAGGATGCTGTGAGTTCCATGCCCATCGCAGGGGTAGAGAGTCTCTTCCTGGACAGACCTCAACCCAGGGGTTTGCAGCTTCCCCAGTCTTCTTCGCTCCTCTTCCTCCTTCTACTGTGAAGGGGCTTGAATGTCACAGTCTGTGCACTGTTTGAAAGCTCTAGCCTAAAACTGTCAAAAACTGTTAGTTAAACTTTCAAAGGCTGGGAGGGTTTTAGTGACTCAGGCAGTTGAGATTATAAAACTTCATGTGGCTATTGGAAAACATGATTCTCTTTCCTCAGGTGTAAGCAAATGTTGTTTGCCACTACTTTTACTCATTTATTTATAGGTGAACAAAGTATTAAGAAATCACTTAATAAGGCCCCACTGGATGTTTGCAATGGATAACATAATTCGCCGTGCAGTCCAAGCAGCAGTCACTATACTTATTCCAGGTAAATCAAAGCAGCTGAAAATAATCTTTAAAGCAAAAAAGATGGCTGTTTGCATATCAAAGAGTTGCAGCAAATGTAACAGTTTAGATGTTTAATCTGTCAGCATGCCATTAACTGCATCCCATGTGCTACTACATCAAAAGCACAGGGTCAGAATGTCATACAGAAAGAAGTGTTGATCAGGAGGATTAATGCTATACTTGGGGTACAAAAGCACATAATGAGGAGATAACTAGTGGTTCTGCATCACCAGTGTGGTCCGACCGTGACCAAAGAGGGCAAATTAAATTCAGTCCAACCTGGAACTTTTGAAGGAAGAAAGAAAATGACTCCGTACAAGATTGTAATGACATCCAAGGTGGGTGACACTGCACAGGTTTGGTTATGTATTCTGAAAACTGATTACTGAGCTGTAGAACAGATGCAGAAAAGGGAGGGCACTAATATAAGGAGGAATGTAGTCTTGGCCTTCAGATAAATAGTAGGAAAAATCATCACCACCTGAGGAGGAAGAGGATAACTGATGAAGAAGTATCTAGGACTAAGTGTGAGTTGGAAATCTGCAAGTAGTTTTGTAATTAAGTCTTGAAGTGCTGGGTACCCCTTCCAGTATGAGAATGTTTGGAGAGCACTTAGTGAGGGTGAGCCCTTTCAATTCAAAGTTGCTATTGTTTTTAAGCCAAATAGGCAAAAATTTTTAGGACTTTGCTTGTAGCAGAAAAATGGCAGTCATTCTTTGGTGGGAAGGGTGGCCACCTGCAGCACGTGCTGAAAGAACTGGGGTTAGAATTGCTAGCTGGAGAAAGGCTTTGTAAACAGTTTTGATCCAAAGGAAGATTAGGAGGATGATGATGCTTTGAAAGCAAGCTTTGAAGGGTTTCTCATTAGCACATTTAGTTTCTTCTTATTCATTTAATCACAAATGTATTTGTCCCCTCTACAGCTGTAATCTACAGCTACCTACCTCTACTGGTATGCTGCAGCTAAGCTACTACATTGCCACCCATTTTAGAATTGATGCTGGGGAACCTGTGGTCCAGCTTGCATAACGCTTTGCTACTCCCCTGCTCAGTATTACAGTAAAGCACAAGGTGTAAATAGTCTACTTCCTCAGCTGAAGCTCCCCCAAGAACAAGCTGCAACACCTCTGAAGAGAGACCTGTCCAAAGAAATTCTCTTACCTGCTTTCTTTACCAGAGCTTCGAGCTCACTTTGAGCCAGTGTCAGAAACTGAAGGTGGGGAAAAAGACGGAGATGAAGCAGAGGACAGTTTCCAGCCCACTGAACAAAACAGGGCTGAGGATCCCACCACCACATCAGGAGTCAGCACCCTCAGTTCTGTGGTGTCCCATGAGGCTCAGCAGCAGCTTAGCCTGGAGCTGGGCAGACTTAAACAAGAGACTTTAAGGTAATGCTCCTGTAAAGGTTTCGGATTTGTTTTCAGCCAGTCTTTGAGAAACTCTCAGATGTTGCTTTCTACAGTGACATGCACATATCTAACATCAATACTGCCCAAATACCACTGCTGCCTCAAGGTGAATCAGGCCTTCCAGGAACACAAAGGGATTCAGAATACATTGGCAGTACCAGTAGGACAACTCAACAGCCTTCAGTATTGAAGTATTGTTTCTGTGTAATTAATTGTTTAATTGCAGAACATCATGTTGTATTTCTACTGTTAAGTAAGTAATGACGCTTGTGCAACTGTGTGGTTTCCTTCCTGCTCCCTTGGCTCCTTTGACACCACCTTACACCACAGCACTGCTCTCTGAGCTGTTCCTGCAAGGAAACGCCAGAGCAGCACCATCCTGGCCCACAGGGCAGGCTACCCACTGATGAGCACAAGCAGAGCTCAGCAGAGCCCCTGTCCTGTTTCTCATGGGTTACTGCATTTGTAGGCTGCTGCCAGTGTGTTAAGAGTTTACAGTCTCATTCTCCTTCATGGATGTGATGTACATCTGTGATCAGAACACTCCTGGTAAAAGATCACTCTTACATTGCTCAGTAGTAAATTGCAGTATAAAGGCAGCTCTTCCCAGGGAGGATGCAAAACAGTTGGAACAGAATTTACAAGCAATTTACTAAATTCTGCAAATATGAAGGATTTAAAGTGCCATGGATAAGCGAGTCTCAGGCAACAAACTAAGCCACAAAATATGCTACTTAAGACAGTATCTCTCAAGTGTCTCTGTCCTTTCGTAGTCATTAAAAACGACAAATGTTTTTCTCAGCTAGACTGACTCAGTATGGTTGTATTTGATCTCTCTTGTATGCTAACAGCCTTTTGGAAAACCTTGTTCAGAAGGAGAAAGAGTATCAGACCCTCTTACGACAATCTCTGGAGCAAAAAACTCAGGAATTACACTTGCTTCGATTAAAACTTAAACCTGAAGGTTATGAGGAGATACTGCACACTTTGACAGGTGCATACTAATATATTTTTTTAAAGGATAGGGTGTTGGGGTTGTTCAGCCTAAAGGCAGCTCTGGGAGGCCTTAGAGCAGCCTTCCAGTACCTAAAGGAGGCCTATGAGGAAAGCTGGAGAGGGACTTTTTAACAAGGGCATGTAGTGATAGAGCAAGAGAGAATGGCTTTAAACTGAAAGCGTGAAGATTTACATTACATGCTATGAGCGCGGTGAGACACTGGAACAGGTTGCTCAAAGAATATGCTCCACACCTGGCAGTGTTCAAGGCCAGGCTGGGCGAGGCATGAACAACCTAGTCTAGTGGAAGGTGTGCTTGCCCATAGCAGGGAAATAGATGATTTTTAAGGGCCCTTCCAACCCAAACCAGTCTATGATAAAGAACGCTTTGTTTTAAGCTTCAGTAGTCTGAAACTGACCACTTTAGCCCTGGTTTTGAGGTGTATTAACCTTTACATTTGTTTTCTGTTAAAGACTCCAACTGGTCTGCCACACCTTTTAGAGCGAATGCAGACCCTGAGCTCATGAACTGGTTGAAACAACAAGGAGCAGACTCGCATGCTATTAAAAGGGTAAAAAAAAAAAAAAAAAACCAACAAAAAAAGAAAAACCACAAACCCCCCCACCTTTAAAAAAAGGCACTGTAGTCAGTATTAGCAGTTTACTTCAACAAAGGAATGTTAATTTAGGAATAAATTTGCCTTTTAGTTTGCTGAAGAAGATTATACACTAAGTGCTGTCCTTAACGATATCACTAAGGATGACCTGCGCTACCTTCAGCTGCGGTAAGAAGTATTTCTTAGTTCCTTGGTGAGGCTGTAATTGAAGTAGATTGTAAAAACCTTTTTCAGACGTTCAGTTGTTGAAATAATCAGTGACCAGTCAGTGGCAACTGCTGGGAATTTCATCGCTGGTTTGTTGTTGAAGTTTTTCATGTCTTAACTGATGCAGTGAAACACCTGCACCTCCGGTGCTTCAAGCTATCTAAGTTTTGGCATTTGTCAAAAGTTGGGAGTTATTTCTGCACCCTTCGGGATGATGTAATCACAGGGATAGCAGGCATCCAGCACTTGCTGTGCCTGCTCCTTGACTCAAGTCCTTTCAACATGAGTCAGTCAGCCCCTGGCTGATGTGGAAGAGATTTAGCTGCCACCTCAGGGAAGTGTGTAGTGTTTCCTATGTAGTGTCATAACCAGTACAGCCTTGGGATTTCTAGGTTTTGCTTCTTGCTAACGTTAAAGAAGATGAGGAAGTTCTCCATAATGCTTCTCTATTCTCCTTCATACAGGGGTGGTCTTCTCTGCAGGATTTGGAATGCAATATTAAACCACCGACAAACATCTGGCAAGACCTCTGCGCAGGTGGTTCATGCTTTGGAAGGAGAACATGACATGGGAATAAACAAATGAGAACTGCATTCACTACACTTCAATTATTAGATGTATATATACATGTCTGTACAGTGGCCTTGCAGGTTTTGCACGGCGATGTAGCTTGTTTGACCTTGAGTGTAACACACAGTGACTAGTACAGCTTTTATGTCAGTGTCAATGCACTTAAATTATTTCTGACAGAGTAATGCAGAAGTCAAATGCTTATCACTGTAACCTAAAGCATTAGCTGAGGAAAAAAAAACATCTTTTCTGCAAACTGGGTACCACACACCTGAATTGGCTTTAGCATTGTGAAAACTCTGAACATTAACATGTTACAGCTCTGGCGGTTGGAGCAGGGAGGGGATGTGCCAGAGCTTGTGGCACCTTTTCCCACATGCCTGTATAAAACTTTTATATAAACTATTAAAGCTGCCTTCACAGAACTCCTAAGAAAAGCCTGGTGCAATGTTTTCCTTTAGTAACGTACCTGCAGCAAACCCACAGCATCTAAAGGGCATTTCTGGTGGTTTGGGGAAGAAAATGGTTCATTAAGAAACAAAGCAAACACATTACTAGGTAAGTGGTGTTGAAGCTTATTTTTTTTTAACTGTACATAACAATCCAAAGACAAGTCGATAAAGCAGATACAAAGCAATTTCAGTAAGCTGCGGCTTTAACTCCTTCTGAAACAACTTTCAGCATGTTTACCCAAATCCAAACTGAGATGGATTTCCCCACACACTTCCTCATTTGAAAGAACTTTTAAATAAGCTTACAGGTTGTTTCTGAGTCATGTCTGAGTTTCCCAAGGAAGCTGTGAATGTTCCACACCTGGCAGTGTTCAAGGCCAGGTTGGACAGAGCCTTGGGTGACATGGTTAATGTGTGGTGTCCATCACAGTAGGGGTTGGAAGTAGATGATCTAGAGGCCATTTCCAACCCTAAGTATTCCACGATTTACGTTCCTGTAAATATATTCACTTATTCTTATGAATAAATTATGACAGTATAAAGTCCTTTAGCTGGTAGACTTGTAGCTTATCCACTGGTTTGGGCCCCGCACTTCAAAGGCTGGCTCATTGAAGTAGATGTGGTGACAGAGTTCTTCCAGTGGTGGCTCTGGGTCAGTGGTAGCGAACTGAGCTGCTTCCTCAATCTCCTTCCTTACTGCCACATCAATATCCTAAACCAAGAATGGATGCCGATTAGAAGGCACTTCAGAAAAAACATCTTAATTCTGAATTTAAACACAATGATGAAGTGTTGGTCAGAACTAGTGTTAAAGCTGTTTACAAACATATATGAAAAACCTGTGAGAAATCCATCCCTGCTAAACTGCAGCTTTTTTGTGCCTTTTGGACAGTACCTATACCTTACTGCCAGAGGAATATGACCCCAGTGATCTTCTACAGTTTCTGTTCAGATTCTGCGAACCACTGAGAGGGTCAGTGTCAATTTCGGGGGTTTTATTAAACACAGCTGATGAAGGTATTTATAACATATACTTAGAGGACTCCTGGCTCCTTCAGAGGATTTTTCACTGTTGACAATTTCTCTTTCAGACTTCTACGCCCTTCCTAGGTAGTTGAGAATGCCACAGTAATTTTGACTTCTACATCTTACATATGATAAGAGCTGTAAGTGAAAGATGATTTCCCATGCATACAGCCTTCTTCAGCACCCACATGTGCTTTTCACAGCTCGTTAGCATGCAAATCCTCCAGAGCTTGCTTATATGGCAACTAAAAGCCATACCTTTAATTCTTCAATGCTAGCCAGGTTATTGTTGACCATTCTGTCCTTCAGCAAAGTAATGGGATCACTTTTGCTTCTCACTTCTTGAATTTCTTCCCTAGTGCGATAGCTAGGACCAAGAGAAACAGAGACATGAACTGCTTCAGAAGTGTCCTTGACCAGAGGCAAGGTTCTGGATGCAGCTCAATCTTAGAAAGGTGTGAACAAAGAATTGTCAGGAATGCAATGAAAATACAGTGAAGCTCATCACTCAGAGGGAGGCACAGCTACATCTAGAACATTCCTTACATCTGTAAGTGGCAACTGAGCTACCGTAGCTCCAAAAATGAATATAACGTAGGCAGGGGAAAGGGAGCAGTCCCAGCCTGAGGCAGTTCCCACAAGGAGCTGCATATCTTCCTTCCCATCACCCTTCAGGTGATGATGCTAGATGATGAAGCTAGATGACTTGCTGCATGCTTCCAATTCACAACAAGTTTCCAAAGCACTGGGCTACACCTCCTGCTTCATTCAGGTATATCACAGTATCACACAGTATGCTAGAGATTGGAAGGGACCTCGAAAGATCATCTAGTCCAATCCCCCTGCTGGAGCAGGAACACCTAGATAAGGTTACACAGGAATGTGTCCAGGCGGGTTTTGAATGTCTCCAGGGAAGGAGACTCCACAACCTCCCTGGGCAGCCTGTTCCAGTGAATGGTACAATGGTACAATTGTACAAATGGTACAATGCCCGAGCATTCTTGACCCTGCCTGTTTGTGTTTTGAAGAAGTGTTCTACTTTACTTTACTTGACTGGACAATCCAAACTGTTCCTGCAGTCTTAGCATATTGGGCTATACATACTCTAAAAACCTTGGAAAAACATGATGCTTTTCAGTCAAAGCTCAATCAGAACACACTATAACTTCACGCTGAAAGCAGAATTCATTAATAAAAAGCACAAAAGTTCGACTTTGTGCTCACAGTCATCTATAGCAGCTTCACCATAACCTTTATATGAGTTTTGTAACACATTTAAAGATGGAATCTAAGAGTTTCAGGATTTTGACCATCACTACTTGGTTGTTTCAGTGAATGCCAAGGAAGAACATCCCAGTACCTTATTCCAGGGTCACTCATACTATGGCCATGGTAACGGTAGGTCTGTAACTCCATCACAATAGGACCCTTAAAAAGTAAAAAAAAACAAACCAGCACAGAGCATGTTACCACCTTAAGGGACCAATATATGGCGATAGCAGCAAGTATTTGCTATAGGTGAAACGTACCATGATTGTAACTCAGTGTTTTTCTCTGCTTAGTTTTCACACTACTACCACAACTAGTAAAATACAGCTTCACTCTTTTCAAATAAAAGCATAGGTTGATATTGTGAACTTTTATTCTAACATTCTTACTGAGCTGCATTAAATAACTTCTTCCCTCTCAGGGTCCTTCCACCATTAGTCAGACTATTTCCAAATGCCAAATGTTTCACTGCGAGGTTTGAACTCACAGAACCCTATTCTTCTGCACAAACCTTTTTCTTTTTCTGTTGTACATTGCCGGGGCAAACATTATTTCACCAAATATTAAAAAATTACAGACACAGCATATCGTACTTGGGTGACAGACACTAATGCTGATTCACATGCTAAAGCTGATTTACATCTGTGTAAATACAGAATGATCAGTATGTTCCTTCATGCTTCCCCTAATTCATCTCTTCAAAGACAACAACTGCCTGACAGCCAGGACACCTTTCCCAATAAAATTTAACTGGAGTAGAACTGGGGAAAAAGATGCCAGAGTATCAGGATAGATATATCTATTTTAAATGTTTGATACCACTTGCATGCCACCCAATGAAGAACTTTTTAATGCAACAGTAACATGGCTAAGAATTTCACCTATGGAAAAGGAATGACGACTACTGACTTACTTTGCCAGATCTGCAGTGTTCAGCAGCAAACTTCGTTGCTTCTCGAACACAGAGAACATCCATGCCATCCACCTGAAAACAGAAACTACACACTGAGGCAAAAAAATGCCAAACCCCAAACTTCCAATTTCAGCACTTCCACAAGAACAACATGAATTCAGTTGCAAATTTTCCTATATTTAAAAAAATATTTTTAAATTTACGTGTAAATAATACATACATATGTGCATGCCCATTCTCCCCCACAAAAAAAAACAGCAACAGTGTCTGTACTCACCCTGAGACCTGGAATGAAGTCCCCTCTTCTATAGTAGTCGGTACTGGCTGCCGCTCTTTCAACTGAAGTTCCCATTCCATAGCGGTTATTCTCACAGACAAAAATACAAGGCAACTTCCACAAGGCAGCCATGTTGAATGTTTCAAATATCTGGCCCTGAAAGAACAAGTTGCATCTAGACAGGGAGCTCAGCATTCAGGCATCAATCTGCAAGGTGCCTCATCACCTACATGAGGTTTGTCTCAGTGCACAACACTTCACAACAAAAGCCCTAAGAAAAACTGCAGCGAGCTATAGTACTGAGGGTGTGCATACCCTTCTCTCTCTGGGATTGCTTTTTCTGCATTAGTTGTCTCTTTTTAGTAAAGTATCCTCTCAGCAGAAAGCCCAGCAAGCAATCAGAGCAGAAGCTCCAAGTCAGATACTGCCTGGGCAACAGCGTTAACCCAGGGCGGACGAGAGGTGCTCCCCACTACTTGGTGGAAAGGCAGAGCTCACAGCTCACAGAACAAAAACAGATCACCAACAGCCACTCTCCTCCTCACCACACCACACCACACCACACCAGACAAAGCCGATTTACCTGATTGGCTGCACCATCCCCATATAAGGCCATGCAGATTTCGTTTTTACCAAAGTATTTACAGGCCAGCGCAATCCCAGCTCCAAGAGGAACCTATCAGAGAGTACATGAAAAAACACCATTTTACAGCAATGTTTAAAGGAGTTGGAGGTAGGCAGCTTGTGAATTGTGAAGAGACATTTACACTATCAGAGATCTGCTCAACATACACGTAGTCAGTAGGTAAATACCAACTCACTTCCATTTGTGCCGATCTCTATTACAGCTAAAATTCACACATCACTTACATATATCTCAGTGTGATACATCTTTGCTCTAGATTACTAAAAAGTGAGCAAAACAGAATAAAGACATCATAAATAGCCTCAGAATAATGGTGGCTGCATACAAGCTCACACCACAAGCACTGAAACACTGACAGAGGACAGGAGCCACATTCAACTTGTGCTTTGAAGCAGAAGTCATGTATATACCTGAGCACCAACGATTCCATTTCCACCATAGAAGTTTTTGGTATACATGTGCATTGATCCTCCTTTTCCCTTTGCACATCCTCCTTTTCGCCCTGTAACATGAATAACAAGCAAAGTACTTTTCCAAAGGAAAAATCCTATGCAAATGGAACATCTAATTCAGTGCCTAAAGGTACTAACAGTAAGACCAAGCTGTTGTCATTACATCTATGTGGAGTTAAGAAACAACAGCCATTTCCTGAAGTGTTTACACTTAAATACATCACAAAACAAGTAAGAAAAGAGAGTGAAAGAGAACAGTAAAGGAAACCTAATTCAGGAAATACAGAATGAGATTAAGAAGAAATTTTACAAGCAACCAAGAAGTTTCAGTGCTCTACCTATGTACAAGAACTTTCTGACAAACGGGGGGAGTGGTGGTGGAGGGGTGGTGTTTAATAGCCAAAATGGTCCCTACTTCTCATAAATGTAATCTGTAAAAAGAAGTATATCCAGTCCTTCCTGCTTTTCACTTGTGCAACAAAGGTGTGAACACTATTCAAATTAGTCGCAATAATCTACACACGTCTTCTCTGCGACAGAACCAGAAGTAAAAAATTACAGATAGGACATTCAAAAAAAAAAAAAAAAACAAACTCAAAGCAAAATCCAAAATAACACCACCACAAAATCTACATAACCAACAACTCCTCTTAC